TGGTGATCATACCCCCTCTTATGTATTACACATGGAGATCATATCCCCCTTATGTATTATACATGAAGATCATATCCCCCCTTATGTATTATACATGGAGATCATATCCCCCCCTTATGTATTATACACGGTGATCATATCCCCCCTTATGTATTATACATGGTGATCATATCCCCCCTTATGTATTATACATGGAGATCATATCCCCCCTTATGTGTTATACATGGAGATCATATCCCCCTTATGTATTATACATGGAGATCATATCCCCCTTATGTATTATACATGGAGATCATATCCCCCCTTATGTATTATACATGGTGATCATATCCCCCCTTATGTATTATACATGGAGATCATATCCCCCCTTATGTATTATACATGGAGATCATATCCCCCTTATGTATTATACATGGTGATCATATCCCCCTTATGTATTATACATGGTGATCATATCCCCCTTATGTATTATACATGGTGATCATATCCCCCCTTATGTATTATACATGGTGATCATACCCCCTTATGTATTATACATGGAGATCATATCCCCCCTTATGTATTATACATGGAGATCATATCCCCCCTTATGTATTATACATGGAGATCATATCCCCCCTTATGTATTATACATGGTGATCATATCCCCCCTTATGTATTATACATGGAGATCATATCCCCCCTTATGTATTATACATGGAGATCATATCCCCCCTTATGTATTATACATGGAGATCATATCCCCCCTTATGTATTATACATGGAGATCATATTCCCCCCTTATGTATTATACATAGAGATCATATCCCCCCTTATGTATTATACATGGAGATCATATCCCCCCTATGTATTATACATGGTGATCATATCCCCCCTTATGTATTATACATGGTGATCATATCCCCCCTTATGTATTATACATGGAGATCATATCCCTCCTTATATATTATACATGATGATCATATCCCCCCTTATGTATTATACATGGAGATCATATCCCCCCCCTTATGTATTATACATGGAGATTGTATCCCCACTTATGTATTATACATGGTGATCATATCCCCCCTTATGTATTATACATGGAGATCATATCCCCCTTATGTATTATACATGGAGATCATATCCCCCTTATGTATTATACATGGAGATCATATACCCCCCTTATGTATTATACATGGAGATCATATCCCCCCCCTTATGTATTTTACATGGTGATCATATCCCCCCTTATGTATTATACATGGTGATCGTATCCCCTTTATGTATTATACATGGGTAGTGATCATATCCCCCCCTTATGTATTATACATGGTGATCATATCCCCCCCTTATGTATTATACATGGTGATCATATCCCCCCTTATGTATTATACATGGAGATCAAAATTTGAATTTTCGGAAGATGACTATATTTGTTTGTATTTTATTCTGTTCTCTTCTAACCTATTCTATTGTTTCTATTCTATTCTATGCTAGTCTTTTATTTTCTATTCTATTCTATTATTCTCTAGTCTAATTCTTTCTTTTCTTATCGATTCTATTCTATTCCTTTATTTTCTATTCTATTCTGTGATATTCTATTTTTTTCTTTTCTATTCTATTGCTTTCTTTTTAATACTATTCTGTTTTATTCTATTTTATTTTATTATTTTCTATTCTATTCAATAAAGCAGCCTAAGTAGAAATCATCATCTTATTCCACTTTTATACCTTAATGTATTTATTGCAATATGTTTCCATTTGGAATTAATTTTCAGATTCATTTTTGAATTCAACTTGAGATCATTTAGAATTTGATTTGAAAATAACAAATATAGGAAACAAATTCTGAAAACGAATCATTCTAACAATGAATGACAAAACAAAATTAATAACTTGAGGAATGAAACTAAACAAATTTTTCCTTTGTGCACATCTCTAGTGGGAACAGATCAATCTTCTAGCCCATAAGGCCACTTTCACGCTGGGCGGAACCATCAGCGGATCTGCTTGCTCAGCAGGGGATCTGCTTGTAGACACTATAATTTTCACGTACACCAACCAATACTGGGATTTTTTTTACCAGACACATAGCAAAATACATTTTGACATAAATTTATGAAAAGTGTTTTTTTTGGATATGTTTTATAACAGAAAGTAAAAAAAATTAATGTTTTTTTTTTTGCAAAATTTATTTTTTTTGTTTATATAATAAAAAAATTAAAACAAAAAGTGATAATCAGCTACCACCAAAATAAAGCTCTATTTGTGTTAAAAATTGTATAATTTTCATTTGGGTACAGTGTTGCATGGCCACGCAATTGCCAGCTAAAGTAGTGCAGCGCTAAATAGGCACAAATAGCCTAGTCATGAAGAGGGGTCAAATCTTCTGGAGCTTAAGTGGTTGGGACAAACATAGACCTATTGTCAGGGAGTGCCAGTGCCTCTCCCATCCCCCGCCATATCCCTACACCCCTCCCTTCCCCCTTGCACATTCACATGTCCGTGTAGCTTCCATGAACAGTGGTGGGCCGGCCATTGCCGAGGCAACCTAGCAGCGTCCCACATGGCTTTTAAAAGACTGGCACAGGAAGCAGCCCTCTCTCTTTGTTCCTGTCCAAGCTGCTGGAATCGTCTTGTTCCCAGAAAGACGCTGGGAGGCTCGGGTGGGGGGGACGGAGCCTCCCCAGCCATCCCCGTTGCGCACTCTGCAGACCCCCAAAAGTCAGGACTGTAGCCCTCTGCAATACCCCAGGGTTGGGAGTACCCGCTGCCCTCTGCTGAATGTCCCAGGGTGGGAGTCTCTCCGCAGCTCTGCATGAGCCCCTCCACAAGGGTCAGACCCCACAGCTCAGACCCTGCCAGACCCTGCCAGCCTGTCTACTGAGCACCCCTGCACCCTGTCCGCTGCTGAGTGCCCTGAGAGCTGCTGCTGAGGGAACCCGCACGTTGTCCGTGGCTGCGCATCCCTGGAAGCTGTCTGCTGATCACTGGTCGTCCCTGGAACGCTGACCACTGGTCGTCCCTGTCTGGAACCGCCTGCCGCTAAGGGTCTGAAAGCCGCTTACCATGAGTGTCCAGAACTGTCCCTGTGGTGCGCACAGACTACCCGTGTCCTGAACTGTCCCTGTTGTGCTCACAGACCCCCCCGTGTCCTGAACTGTCCCTGTTGTGCGCACCGACCACCTGTGTTTTGAACTGTCCCTGCTGTGTGCACCGACCACCCGTGTTTTGAACTATCCCTCCAGTGTGCACCGACCACCCGTGCTCTGAACTGTCCCTCCTGTGTGCACCGACCACCCGTGTTCCTGTGTGCACCGAACTGTCCTTGCTATGTGCACCGACCACCCGTGTTTTGAACTGTCCCTGCTGTGTGCACCGACCACCCGTGTTCTGAACTGTCCCTGCTGTTTGCACCGGCCACCCATGTTTTTAACTGTCCCTGCTGTGTGCACTGACCACCCGTGTCCTGAGCTGTCCCTGTTGTGTGCACAGACCACCTGGGTTATGAACTGCCCTACTACACGCCTAGACTACCCTTACTTGAACCGCCCCATGGCGTGCCCTGAGTATAGCTACCTGTGATGCCCCTGAGTGCTTCAGCCATCACTACCCGTTGAGCCCCTGTGAACCCGATGTCCCTAGAAAGCTGGGTGGGAGCTGTGCTAGGCCAGACTCCACAGCTAGAGTCCCGTTGAGTCCCCGAGACCCCTGCCCAGGGGTAGGTTGCCCGCCTTTTGCCCGAGTCTCCAATCCGCTGTCCAGTCATGGAGGGAGCTCGGCTGAGGCGGGACCCTCATGACCAGACTCTGTGTGGGACCCCCCAAGCCCAGGGGGGAGATTGCCTGCCTGTTGCCGAGACCCCTGCCCAGGGGTAGGTTGCCCACCTGTTGCCCGAGACTCCAATCCGCTGTGCAGTCACGGAGGGAGCTCAGCTGAGGCCCCAAGCCTAGGGGGGAGATTGCCTGCCTGTTGCCCAAGACCCCTGCTCAGAGGTAGGTTGCTCGCCTGTTGCCCGAGACTCCAATCCGCTGTCCAGTCACGGAGAGAGCTCGGCTGAGGCCCCAAGCCTAGGGGGGAGATCGCTTGCCTGCTGCCCAAGACCCCAGTCCAGGGGTGGGTTGCCTGCCTGTCGCCGAAGACCCCCCATGCCTGGAATCGTCCCTAGTTTGCACAGACATCACCCTCCCTGCCATTTCCCCATTGAGTGTCTGTCATTTTGTTGTTTCAATGAAGCTTTGTGTGTTCCCCATCTTCTCCGTGTGCTCTGTCCTGCCTACGCTTCCGTCACACCTATATTCAGACAAAAAGGTTAAAAACAAAAACAGGGAAAACTTGATGGACTATTTGGTCTTTTTCTGCCTTCACTCTTCTATGTTTCTTTATTTTTGGAAGACAATATGTTGCTCTGCCTGTTCCAGTTGTGAAATACTGCAATCAATTATCTGCACAGTAATTCTCAAGTTCAATAAGAAAAAAATAAAATCGTTAAGAAATGGAGGAATTTGTTCCGTCTGTTCAGCAATTATACTTGTGGCCAATGATTTATATATTTTATATCCGGCAAGGAAAACGTAATTAAAAATACACAAGCAATATTTTATTGGATGTAAGTACATCCAGTGTGTTCTAGGTGTAGAATCTTTTGTGATTATTTTATGTTTGCATATTGTTTTGTAACAAATTATTGGAAAAAAATTATTTCCAGCACTTGGCCTGTTGAAGTCATTTCACATACAAGGGTTCTGAACTTTATGAGGTTCTGGGCACTGAATAAATGATCGTGGTAATTGGTAAGTCCGCCTATGCAATTAAAAGCCAAAAAACTCAACAGACCATGCCACAAGCATGCCAGCTCGGCTGAGCTTGTTATATACTTTAGAGTCACGCCATGACAGCTCCAGGGACAGCTTATCTCTACGAAAACAAGGCTTTATAACCAACACAACCAGGGCTGTCAAACAATAGGCTGTTGTTGGCCAACGTTTGGGGCTGGCCGAGCTGCTCCGACTACGCCAGGTTGTAAGTGGGGTCACTGGCCCATGCACATGGGGTACCTTTGGGAGTGTGATCGCACTCATCAATGTCCAGGACCAGGCAGGAGTTGGGTTCAAGTGAAATCAACCTTATGGCGGCACTCCAACTTAGAGATGAGCCATACACTGTGTGCAGTAATAAATGTACAGAGTTCCTCCATGTCAAGGTCCTACTTTTTCTCAAAGGTTGTGCTGCTCCATGTGCTGGCATCCATCTTAGGTTTCTGCAAAGCATGGTGGGAGCTTTTTATGCTTTCAGGCCTCTGCGGTCCCTCCCCCAGAGGGGTGTGGTTGATCACATTTAAGCCTGATGTCTGCACTTGCTCTTTGCATTTGTGTCCTGTATGTTCCCTTGAAGCAAGCTCTTGTTCTGTTCTCATTGCTCTCCTGGTAACCGACTCAGCTTGGACAAGACCATTCTCTGCTTTAACCCTTTACCTGACCTCCCGTTGCTGAACCCAGCCCATGACCTGAGTATTCTTGTCTACCATCTTGTACTGTCTGCTCCGTTGTTATAGACCTGGCCTGTCTGATCATGCTACACGTTGTCCCATCTAGCTCCCACCAGCTGTACGCCATTGGTGGCAGTCGTTACCGCAGCTGGGGTTACTTGGGGGCCACGACCTGGTCTCAGGCTGCGTCAAGTCCATCCCCACCATCAGGGGCCCTGGTGAAGGGTAGCCTGGGGCTTAGACTTTGTGCCCTGAGGGACTCTGGTCTGTGGGTAGTGGCTGTCGTCAGTCGCTGCGTGACCTTACCATAGGCCTGCCTGCCCATCCCATCGCTCCTGCCCTGACACTCCATAAGTGTATCATCCCGTGTCTTTGCACAACTTGCCCTTGAGTGTCATATTTAGGAAGGACAACCCTGAGCTCGTGTTCTCTCCAGTAGTTAGTGACAGAATGGGTTCTTGTGCTCTTGATGAACTCTCCTTTACCAGGCCAAGGGTCTCTGTAACTCTGGACTCAGGACCCTGACCATTAAGGAAGGGGATCAGTGTACACCGACCCCTTGTTACCCGAGGATCCCTCACCCATGCCAGGTACCACGCAAACGACTGGCTGTTGTACATTTTTCACTATTTCTGGTTACCCATAGCAATTGCATTCCTCCTCCTACTTGTCTTGTTAAGTTAACCTTCAGTAGTGGCCTTGCTTCATACCCCAAATGTGCTTTTGCAGACCCAACTGCTTTTGTACACCATGAACCCACACGCACCCCTTTTTAAATAGCTTCAGACCAGGCTGTAGAACTGTTCAAAGAGCTTTACTGGAACTTCAAAAAAACAGAATAAAGTTCACACAGTCCTCCTGATGAACTACTCTTTGGCTGCCCAGGCATACCTCAATAGTTGAAAGTCCATACCTGGTACAGTCCATAAGTGATGGACTGTGGGATCCGGTATCTTCAGGGTGGCTGAAGGATGCAATAGTCCCCCTATGCAGCTCACATAATCTTTACATTCCCAGCCTTCACCCTAACATATAGGCCACAGGGCCTAAAGGCAGGGCATGGGAAGCCCAGGAAAAGAGCACAGAATTATTAACCCTTTCACTAGCCTGGGTCAACTGGCTATTTAACTAACTACTGTAGCCAACCTGTCTACAAACGTTTTTTTCACATTGGACATGCAACTGTTCCATATTTGCAAGGACATATATGATATTCCCATTGCACACGTTCCTGGAAATCGCCAAAAGTAAGTGAGTGCAATGGCAATTCCCAGCTTGTAACAGGTGACACCATAGACCAAAATATATATCAGCAGAAGATCCTGGATCTTTGAGATAATGTCTGAAAGTTTAGTCAAGTGATTACATGACATTAGTAAGATGCTACACTTTGGGGCCATGCAGGACCCCTTTGTCAAGGAATGTGATACACACATTCACATATTCACACAGATCGGTGGTGGCGTTGGGGATAGATACTTTGGTATGTGCTGGAACAGTCCCAAATGGCCCTCTGTCCTGCAGTTGCTGTGTTCTGAGCCATGTCCCGGTATCACATCATCAACCTCATTTGAGTTACAGAACATACACAGTAACTCAAAAAGGCATTAATTGCAGAGACTGGGGCCACAAATAGACACTCCCTGCATATTTAGAAGCTGGACCAACCCATAAAGTGGATATGATGGGTGTCCCCTGTATATTTAGAGGCAGGTCCTGGACAGACCTAACTCATAGATTAGGCATGATTTGGACACGGCCACCCAGAAAGTCAGCAGGTAAAATGTGAATCATAGGCAGGGTAAACAGTGTCCTAGGATCCGGAACTATAATGTTGGTAAATTTGTTTTCATTTCCTTTGTTATGCTAATGCTGATCATGGATAATGGAATCTGTTGCAATTTCCATCATATTTTAATTAAAAAACACCAATTGCATGGAACTGAACTGTCCATTGCAATCCGTTATGCAGTTTCAACCTTTAACCGGTTCTGAGTGCCAAAGTGATTGAAACTACATTGGAAATTGATCCGTTACAGCCCAATGCCAGTTGAAAGGCATTTTCAAACAATTTCTTAATTTTAGTTGGGGCTGTGGGTGGCAGATTGCTGTAGATTATTGAGTTTCATGCAATTATTTGACCAAAAAGATGATGGGAAGCTTCCAAAATTGCCCTTTGTATAGCCAGTATGAAGTCATTCATATACAAGGAGAGCATTCTCCAGAATTGTGACTCATTTCATGCTTCTACAGACTCTTGGATGTAAGATTGTTCCATAAATAATAAAGGATTTATGTTAAGAGAAATTAGAATTCCAGAAAATACACATGAAACAATGCTGGTAGATACTGTAGGGACAACACCTCCAAGTACAGGAAAAGTACATACATACTGGGTGAAGTCCTTGCATTGAAAATCAGAAAATGCAAAAAGATCCTTCATACAATGGAAGACAGCAGACGTACTTCCAAAATCAAAAATATACACTTTCTTTTCTGGTGGTCTGCTGAACATGAGATGAAGTAAATGATACCAAAGCTATCACACCTTGAAGTACAGAAGACGCACATGGTTAGTGGTTATCGTGTGAGGTCATTTCATTATCGCATGGTTGAAAAACAGATAATTCAAAATGATCCTCCATGCAATGAAAGACAACAGAAGAACTCCCAAAACCAAAAAAGATATTTTTCTGGTGGTCTGCTGAACATGAGATGAAGTAGATGATACCAAAATGTCGACACCTTGACGTACACGAAAAAGCACTTGATTAGTGATTACCTTGTGAAATCAGTGCATTATCGCATGGTTGAAAAACCAAACAAGTAAAAAGATCCCCAATGGTTGAAAAACCAAACATGTAAAAAGATCCCCCATACAATTGAAGACAGCAAAACTCCCAAAACCAAAAAGATAAATTTTTTTCTGGAGGTCTGCTGCACATGAGATGAAGCAGATAATACTGAAGTGCCTACACCTCTATTTACAGAAAAAAGCACGTGGTTACCATGAGAACACATTGCACATGACTGAAAATCAGAAAATGCAAAACGAGCCTTTATACAAGAAAAAAGAAAGGGTAGATTCTATTCATGCTCTTACCCCACAGGACCCCTCTCCCATTAATTCTGAGGCTGACCAAGTCCACCTGTTCTTATTTTGTCCTCCTCACCTAGTTGGACGTAACCAGATGTGCAAGCAGCT